TTTCCAGACTTAAAAAGCACACGTGCACACATACACACTTGTTAATAGTGCTGCATTTTCTGCTATTAATTAGGCGCTCTCACACACAAACACACAACACACATTTTAATAAACTTTCTCAAGATCAGCCATGGTCAGTGAAGTGCTGCCACCTGCTGTTACACAGCTATGACATTTGGTGCATTAGCATCTCAACACCTATAAGTGAAGCTTTTAAAAAAAATCTCACATGCATCTTACAAAAAAAGGGAAGGTAAAGGAAGAGTAATTGGAAATACATTTTCATACTGTTAGGCTGTGAAAAAGCATTTCTCTCAAACAATGACTTTTCTTTCCTTACCTATTTTGTGCTGACGGCACACAAACTAACAATTGAAAAACTTACGTCTTGAAACTGTGTGGGTCTTTATTGACAATGTTAGCAGCACTTACTCTGGCTCTTTGTAGCATGAAATGGGACTCCTATTTCATAAAAGCCTACATTTACTACAAGCGTTACCAAGCAATCAGGAAAGGAGGAGGGGAATGCATTAGAGGGTACAATAAGTCTTTATTTAAATATAGCTATTAGACACTGTCGTTCCAAAATATTTGTGCCATTCAAAATTCAAGTAGTGGAAAAGTTCCACTTGGTTAGTAGATGTGGTTAATAGCAATATCAGAATAAACTTAGTAGTCCAAGATCCTTTTGAATCCCAAATTAAACCCCAAATTTCTGCAAAGTAAATCATTATCTCTCAGCTGTTTGCCTATGTTTTTAACTTGAGGCAATCATCCTAAAATTTTGCAGATTTCCAGAGAACTCAAAACAAATTAATCATTATATTAAGTGGGTAAGGAATCTTTTTTTCCCCCCAAACTACATTTTCCTAGAATGACTGAGATTGAAACAGGCAAGAGGTAGAGCTAGAAGTAAAATAGGGTGCAAATAATATTGAAGCAAATTTTGTATAGCGCTACAACGTCAAGAGCCTTGGTGGTGCAGCGGACTAAGTGCTGTTATGTAGCACTTAGCAGCCAGCTGCCTGCAATTAGTGCAAGTTCAAATCTCACCAGGCTCAAGATTGACTCAGCCTTCCATCCTTCCGAGGTAGGTAAATTGAGGATCCGGATTGTGGGGGCAATAAACTGACTTTGTAGAAACACCGCTTATGGGGGGCCAAAAGCCCTAATAAGCAGGTATATACAAAAGAATGAAGGCTATTGCTATAAGTGCATTGTAAGCCGCCCTGAGTCTTCGGAGAAGGGCGGCATATAAATTGAACTAATAAATAAATAAATAAATTTCTGCCATATTTGTGGGACTATAATTGGTAACTATAGTTCTGGTGTCATTTCTGGTGTCATTTTGCCTTTCAGCATAAATCTTAAGTTTTTTGACAGAAAATACAGGTAGTCTTCATTTTGCAACCGCCTCATCTAGCAACTGGTTGTTAGAAAATGTAACTTCGCAACTAATTGTCACATTTACAACTTTCACAGTATCTGCACAAATAACAGTAGCAATAGCACTTAGATTTATATACTGCTTTACAGCGCTTTACAGCCCTCTCTAAGCAATTTACACAGCATATTGCTCCCAACAATTAGGGTCCTCATTTTACCCACCTCAGAAGGATGGAAGGATGAGTCAATCTTGAGCCTGGTGAAATTTGCACTGCCAAATTGTAGTCAGCCAGCAGTCAGCAGAAGTAGCTTGCAGTACTGCACTCTCACCACAGTGCCACCATGGCTCAAACAAAGGAAAGGAAAACAAAGGAAAGCCAAAGTAAGATTATAAATAGAATTGTGGTTTCACCTAGTGATCATTTACTTAAGAACCAGGTTGCTGGTCTCAGCTGTGGAACTAAACCAGGACTACCTATAGATTATTTGAAGATCTGTTGCAGATTTATATTTCTGATTCTAGAAATGTTTAAAAACTGGAACAATAGGGACAAAAAATAGTTTTTTTTCTTATCCGTGGTGGCGTAATGGTTAAAGTGCATTATTACAGGCTAATTCTGCCAACTGCCAGCAGTTTGATCCTGACCAACTCAAAGTCAACTCAACCTTCCATCTTTTCAACATTGGTAAAATGAGGACACAAATTGTTTGGGGCAATATGCTAATTCTGTAAACTGCTTAGAAAGGGCTATGAAGCGGTATATAAGTCTAAGTGCTATTACTATTGCTGTTAAATATGTCTATAAGTAAATATTTAGCTGAATGAAGAAATGGGCTTGTGAAGACAGAATAGATAGAACTCAGTTCTGGGCATTTACAATTAGAATCTCTGAACAGGCCTACTAAAGTTTCTAGTTCAAAGAGAAAAAATCAGAGGACATGTCTGTGAAAGGTTACTGAGGCATGAAATCTGAATCCAGCTGTGTTAACAACTGTAAATATCACAGGTTTCTTTGCATGAAAATAAAGAAAAGGAAATTAAAATGGGAAATAAATGTCAGAGGGAGATACTGAGAAATTCCAATAAACCATTGATATTAACATTTAAAGTTTAATATAAGACTTTGATCAGATAACTGTAGCCTATTTTAAAAATTCAGAGAGAACAGTTTTCTGATCCATGACCATATTATATTAACAAAGGAGAATTAAAAACTGATATCCCAACTGTTCAATGAAGAAGGTAAACAAAAAAATGCACTTACCTAGTTCCTATTTTGGTCCAATTTTCTCCAACAAAAATCAATGTGTTCCACAGCAAAATGTGAAGGACAGGATGAATGTACTGAAAGAACCATTTTAAGGAAAACCTATTTCAGCATCCAGAACCAGATTAATTACATTTTAGAGTATTGAAAGAATGAGCTAATAGTCTTGATGAAACCTTGTGTATTAGATTTTGAGGCACTCTGGAGATCATGAATGAAGGAGGGCAAATATTCCTATCTTCCAAAATTGGGGGGGGGGGGGGGGGGAGAGAGAAATCCAAGAAACTAGCAGTCAGCATCATAGCAATACCTATGGAAATTCTGTAGCAGCTTTAAAAAGATTGATATGTTAGTATCTTCAAAACAATTTACAATTGCTGGATATCAACATGCATTTGTCAAGAACAAATTTGGCCAGACTAATTTTGTCATTATGTCATAAAAATAGTTTTGCTGCAGTAACTTACTTCATATATTATGGGATTACTGTAGACAAACGATAACTGCAGAAAAGCATTTGACAAAAGACTCCATAGCATATTGATTAAAAAGCTATTAGGTATGGGCTGGATGGCATGATCATTAGGTGGATTTATAATTGGCTTGAAAATCAAAGTCATCAGGTTCTTGTCAGTGGTTCCTCATCAAATTGGAGAGAGAATACTGCTTGGTTCAATCTTCTATTTTTCAGGGTTTTAATTAATGATTTGGGCACAGTGGTGGAGGAATGCTTATCAGTTTGCAGATGATAGAAAATTGGATGTGATAGCTAATATACCAGAAGGCAGAAATGAAATTTAAATCAAACATACAGAGTGAAAATTAAAAGTGACAAGTGCAAAGTTCTTCGGTAATAAAAATCAAAGGTACAGCTATAGAATACAGGAGCCTGGTGGTGCAGTGGACTAAACTACTGTTAAAGTAGTATTTAGCTGCCAGCTGCCTGCAATTACTGCGAGTTCAATTCTCACCAGGCTCAAGGTTGACTCAGCCTTCCATCCTTCTGAGGTAGGTAAAATGAGGACCCGGTTTGTGGGGGCAATAAGCTGACTTTGTATAAAATAGAACACCGCTTAGGGGGGGCCAAAAGCCCTACTAAGCAGGTATATACAAAAGTATGAAGGCTATTGCTTAAAAGCATTGTAAGCCGCCCTGAGTCTCCGGAGAAGGGCGGCATATAAATCAAACTAATAAAATAAAATATAAATCAAACTAATAATAAATATTTAATTTGGTATTAGTACTTTTGAAAATGATATTACAGCAGTAAGTAATTGCAGGATGAATATAAACCAACTGATGTAAGATGACAAACACACTTTTTATATCACATCAATAAAAGTATAATTTCTACATGATAAGTAAGTAGTAACCATTCTACTTGGTCAAATCCCATCTTGAGTGTTGTGTTCAATTCTGGACACATATTTCAAGACAGATTGAGGAAAACTGAAAAGATTCAGAAAATAATGACCATGGAGCTAGAAAAGAACTCCTGTGAAGAGACATTGGAGAAACAGCCTTGACAAAAGATGACTGATACTTGAAGGGATGATATATAGAAGAGCAACCCCTGTTCTCTGTAGAGTGCAAGATTCAGAATAACAGGTTTAAGTAACAGGAAGGCAGAATCCAGTTCAATAGGAAAACAACAACAACACCAAGAGCACCTTGAAGGTAGTTGGCCCCCATTAATGTCTTCAAGTGGAGGCGAGACGGCCATATGTTCAGAATGCTTTGATTTAGATTCCTGCACTGAGCAGGATGTGGACTTGGTGGACTTTCCAACTCTGTGGTTCTACAATTCCCTCTTCTTTTAAATCTGTTATTATGATTAAAAAAAAAAATAAACTCTTGACATCTGTCTAAAATTTTAAAAAAATACATTGCAGTAGACTAAAAATAGTTCTGCTGCCTGAACATAGTTTTGTAAAAGTCACAATAGCATTTGCTTTACTACTGACTTTCTAAATACATTTAAGTTTCATACACAACGTGATTTAGCATTAACATGCCTGAAGCAAATGTGAGCTGACAGTTTGCTTTCACACATCCTAGTAATAGCAAAATTAAGTGTGAGAGCGATATCAGAATAAGGCAATCCTTGTGTATCACTATACAGCCATGTTGGAGATAGGATTCCTGCTTTCTCCAATAAATAATCTGCACTAATCTGCAATAATAATTATATGCAATTAATGTTACATGTGTAAAATTATATGGGTTAATTGTAGCAAATTTAGAAATAAAGTGTTTTTTCTTTTCAGTGGATTCTTCTTTTTTCATGAAACAGATATTTCTCATTCTCTGATTTACCTCTAAGTACTTCTATTTTTTTAAACCTAGAAATTGTGAAGAAGATGTTTCAAGAAAAAGGTATCGTCATAGATGACAAAGTTTTAAAGCCTCACTTGACCTTCATGAAGTTGTCAAAATCCCCAAAACTACAAAAGCAGGTGAAGTAATCACAATAGGGCTGAGGGGCAGTTTGCATTGTAAAGGTTTAGATTGTCCACAAATTATTTTTATATGATTTTACATTTAAATATAGCCGAGTGACAGTAAAGTATACATTATTTCAAAGTTCGAATCTAATCCAACAGACAACATAATTATATATCTGAGATTATTTTAAAAAATGTACAAAAACTATTAACTTCAGCTTGTACAGCTCTCTTAAATAAAGAAAAGAAAGATTAAGGAAGAGGGCATTTTTACAAATTCTGTTTTCCTCTGAAGTTTTCATGCTTTTTTAATAGTAATTCCCAACTCATAAGTTTTTCTTTATGACTATAAGGACGTACTGGGGCCAAGCACTTATCTGGGCTGTAATAAATAGTACTTCTGTATTGACCTTTGCCTTGATGTAATGATTCATTGCACATATTTTATAATGGAGCATCTGGGAAATAATATGTAAATTGCCCTGGTTTATAAGATATTAGAATGATATATACACATTCTTACATAAATGTAGTTTCTGTTTGCATTAATTTTAATTTGAGTTAAAAATCAAACAATATTGGTAGTATAACCTTTTGCCTGTCCACTTAGAAGTGAGCCTCACATTTATTTCCAAAGTAAACGTACGTAGTAGTGAAGCCCTTGAGTAATAATGTGGCCATTGTGAAGATATTTGCAGATAAGATTCAGAAAAATATATTTTAAAAAAGTATGAAAGTAGAATTAAGAATTATATATTTTAGAAATATATTTTTCTAAGATTATGAATTACATAGTTGAAAATTTTAGAGTAATTTGAACTCAGAAAAAAAAACAGTAAGAACATTATTAGCAAATTTGTTTGTTATGATATAAATGATTTTAGAGCGTCCTCTTCTGAATACTTCTAATTTTACTGTATTATCAAATTTTCTTTTTTCATCGAGAAATGAAAGAGGAAAGAGTAAATTTAAGAGGAAAGAGATACATCTCCATTTTATAGAATGATAGTCTCATTACTAGCAAGTGTTCAAAATAAATAAACTAATTTAGTAATTATAACAAGTTCATGTATGATTTTATTTGTGTTCTCATCTAAACAGGACTAGTATTTCACTCTTGATCTAATTAATGTCAGCCATAATGAATAATTTAGGAATAGTATGGGTTTAAATGTATATGGAAGCCATAGGTTCAGTGGTGGGATTCAATTTTTTTAACAACAGGTTCTGTGGGTGTGGCTTAGTTGGGGTGTGTGGCTTGGCAATCATGTGACTGGGTGGGCGTGGTTAGCTGGTCACGTGACTGTAGGCGTGGCTAGCTCGTCATGTGACCGGGTGGGCGTGGCTATGTGCATAGGGACTACTCAGAGGGCTGAAAAAAGTCATTTCTGACTGGGCCTCAACTTTTTACCGGTCCTCACACTTATGACCATCCTCACATTTATGCCCGTGCAGCTTTCTTAACCATGTCACTCATTTCACAACTGCTTCTCTTCACCATGGTGACAAGATAGGGCAAAAACATAAAATGTGAGGACAGTCGTAAGTTCGAGGACTGGTCAAAAGTGTGAAGACCAGTCAGAAATAACTTTTTCAGCCCTCTGACTGGTCCATATGCATAAAAGGATACAGCAATAGAGAGGGATGAAGGAAGGGAAGAGAAATTAGAGTAGGAGGGAGGGTAAGAGAGGGAGGAAGAGAGGACGAGAAGGAGAAAGGAAGAGGAAGTAGGGAGGAGAAGAAGAGGGGGAGGAAGAGAACGTAAGAAGGAAAGAAAAGAGAGAGGTGGTAGGTTTGAGGAGAAAGATTGCTGTACAATAAAAAAGATGAAAGGGAAGAAAGCCAACCCCAAACAAATATAAAGATATTAAGATAAAGAATGAATTGTTAAACTTTAAAGAATAAAAGAGAACAAATATGAATAAATAGCAATAATTAGAAACACACATACAAACATACAATGTATTTTCTTTGAACAGAGTATTTGGCCGGTTCACAAATTTAAACAGTGTTTAGTCATTTCAATTAAATTTACAATTTCTATATTTCCTTTTTGCCATATTTATTCCTCATCTATTTTTGTAAAAAAACAATATTACCCTTCATCCTCATCTCTAATCTTAATCAAATTCAATTTTTCCCTTCTATTCTATATTATACCTCTTCCCATTGTCATCTATTTTTATATCCATCCTCACATTGGTTAATTATGTAATATTAGTTGTTTAATATAAATTCAACATTTTAATATAAATCAATTAGTTATATAACTACCTTTTTTGTATATTAATCAATATGAACATGAATATTCCAATTATTTCCATGCAATCCAATTTCTTACAAATCAATTAATTATATTTACCAATAATAATAAACCAAATAATTTCCCCCATATATTCCTCCAAACTACAACTTAACCATTTCTGCTTTCAGAAATATACAATTAATAGTATCTCAATTATTACAATTCCCTAGTTAAATAGAGCTTTTTTTCTTTTGTGTTTTAAAATCTTTCTCTAAATTTCCCATTGTTTGCATCTACCTTTGTTGGTGAGGGAAAAAGAAAAGAATTCTGCCTGCCTAATTTTCCAACGTTGCAGCAACAGCAAAGCAGTTTCAGTTTCGTGTTTCAGCAGAGCTAAGGGAAAAAAAATCTGCTCCAGGACTCTTTGCAAGGAAGCAGCAGAGCTCTGAGCAAAACAGCTGAGACAAATTAGCTGGGAGCCGGGAGGCCGATAGAATCAAGGGGCTAATTAGCCTATGCTGAAGCTCCGTGGGCCAATAAAATTACAAAAAAACCACCAAACCGTTTGTTAAATTGCTGGCTCGCCCGCCCCTCGCCCACCACTATTTATTGGCAATAAATAGTGGTGCGGAGGGGCGGGGCAAGCCAGCAATTTAACAAACGGTTCGGCTGCACCACTGGCTATAGGGCGGCCCTTTGAAGCCCCGCGGCAAGAATTTGAAGTTTTTTTTCCTCTAGCCATCAGCTGGGACTCCGGAGGCAGCAATAGATTGGGAGTGGGTGGGGTAAGCGAATGGCCGGCGATCCAACAGAGCAGAGAGTGAGGGTGAGTGAAGGCGTGGAAGCTGCTTTCTCCATCCTGCTCTCTTGCGTCCGGAGCCGGTGGGGAACCACGTGGCAGCCCACATGGATCCCAGGCAGCGGAACTCAGGCTAGGGAAGGGGTGGGCAATTGTGGTTCTTTTACAACCTGTGGCCTTCAACTCCCAGAATTCCTGAGACAGCCAAGCTGTCTCAGGAATTCTGGAAGTTGAAGTCCACAGGTTGTAAAAGAGCCACAATTGCTTACCCCTGGCTACGGTAGGCTGGCGCCACGCGGATGGGAGGCGGGGCGGGGCGAGGGGCGGGTGAGCCAGCAATTTAACAAACGGTTCGGTGTGCTGCGGGGCCAATAAATTACAAAAAACCACCGAACCGTTTGTTAAATTGCTGGCTCGCCCGCCCCATTTATTGGAAATAAATAGTAGTGCGGAGGGGCGGGGCAAGGGGCGGGGCGAGCCAGCAATTTAACAAAGGGTTCGGCCGAACCCCCTAGAACCCCCAGAATCCCACCACTGCATAGGTTCCTACTGTGAATGCAAAAGCAAACTAACAAAAGAGAGAAAGAGAGAAATATAATCTTGTCTTGATCATATACTGCCATCTATGGTTGTGCCTGAACTAATTCAATTTCTCATGTATTATAACTGTATTTTAGTAACCAGTAATAAAGGTATTTTTTCGGTATGCAAAATACCTGAATGTTCTTAAAGAGTTCTATTGCAAAGCTAAAGAAACTGGAACATTTGAAAACAATATCAACATGAAGCATTGTAGATTTTATTTTTTAGAATACCAGCATACAAAAACTTTTAACATACACAACAAAGCAATGACAAAATTACTATTAAAAAAGGAATATTAATACCAATTTCTTTACTTTTAAATGTTTTTGCACTGTATATTTTCTGGACTATTTTTGTGTTATGGACATATTTAATGCACATAACACAAATTTAGAAATTATTTATCAGTGGAAAAAAAGTAAGTAAATAACCTGAACATAATCCTCTTGTGTGTCCAAATACTGACAAGTATGTTTACAAAAATACAGGGAAATCTATAAATAATCTTCTAAATTTAATTTCAGTTATAATTTATTCACAAATACACATTAATAGTTCATCAAATGTAACAATAGCTGTATGGTGGTTTGCAGGATCAGGATCATAGTTTTGTCATCTCCCATATATGATAAAGGGATATGCTGGTTGGATGTAACAAGCGTCAGGTAAAACATAATAAAAGCCTGATTGGTGAAACTCAGTTTGGTGCATTATGAATTTTTCAGGCTTTTGTCTGAAGCAATAAGTGGCATTTCTTTCTGATGTATTTCCTACTTTGTAACAATTCAGTATACACTAAACTATATAGTTCAGTCTTATATTATTTGTATTACAATTACTTATATGCTGTCTATTCAAATCACTCTAGGTTAATAGGTTACAATATGGAAGCTGAAGACTGTAGCACCTCTTGAATCATAAACTCCTTTACATCCACTTGGGAATTATCAAGATCTAGGGAGAGGAATTTTTCCACCAGAGATTTGCAATTTTGCATCTGTTTCTCTTTTGAGGGGTGGTCAGTACGTTGGATAGGTTTTCCATTGCGAAACAGTTCTGATACTTCGACTCCTCTGTCAATAATTTTAGAAGGCATGCCAGCCAAAGCTGCAATATTGGCTGCATGGCTGACAGTGGACATGCCTTCTTTAATCTGATAGAAAAATACAAGCTCATCTCCATCTTGATGGGTATCCATGGTCAGATATTGCACAAGAGGAGTGTGGGGCAAGAGCTTTAGTTGTATCAGGCTATGGAAATTAGTGGCAACAAAAATGTGTGGGCACTGGCTGACTTGTGCAATCCAATGCCTTAGAATAGCAGCCAAAAGAGAGAGGCCATCTATTGTATTTGTGCCTTTGCCAAACTCATCAATTAACACCA